TTCCTTTCAAACCCTGCAAGTCTTAAATCAGCTGTATTTTCTTCTCAGCTGACATCATATTTGCAATCAAGTAATGCTGTTAGTTCTTGAGCAGACCTTTTGAGCTTTCCATAGAGCACACACCTATCTTAACTCAGCTGAATTTTGGTGCAGAACCTGGGCCACAGGGGCATACTTATATTGAAGTCTGGCTGGTTTTACAAAGGTGACTTTAAATGGTGAATGTGCTCTGGGAATTTTAAGATGGTGAAGGGCCCTGAAGGACACCTGGAAGGGACTGGTTTATGCCTGACCCCATCCCTGACACTTTTCCTTGGCCACTGTTTACCTGCTTTGGAGACAGGGGAGCTGTTATTCCACTGAGGATGTGCAAAAGAGACTCACCTAGCAGCCATGCTATTTTTAAGTCTTTTACCATCATGAGAGAGATTTAATGCAATGATGAATGGAGTCAGTATGTCTTAAGATTTGGCCAGTGAGCAGCTGGAGAGAAAAGACTTAAAGGATTCCTCATGTAGGTAATACAGATTTTACTCTGTTACTTTTACTCTTTCTGTTTTGTTTCACTGGGCTTCTACAGCAACAAGCCCAGTTAATTTGGTGACTGTATTCCAAATCATCTGCATGTTCCTCACAGAGAGAGAATGCAAAATCCTAAGAAGTGCGGCAAAATCTTAAAWGCCTGATTTCTGTTGGAGTGCAGTTAAAAGAGGCAACCACAGGCTGGCTCGCTGGCAGGACTGGCAGGTATCCATGGGACTGAGTAGCTCTGAAAATCATCTCAACACAGGTAAGCAGCTGTTCGACACCTCAGTGGCTCATGCAGTCGGCATGGAGGTGCTGTAAAGCGTAACAGAGCAGCAGGAGCTTTCAGGGAGCGCACGCGGAGTCGGAGTCCTGCCACCTTCATGGCCACTGGATGCCTTCCCGAACCAGGCTTTGCTGGTAGGACTTCCAGCAGAGCTGCCTTGGCTCTACTCCCATGAGAACCTCGTGGACCTTGAAGGGGACAAAATGAGGCCAGGTTGTTCCATCCCGGACCTGTCCTGGTGTGGTGGCAGGCTGACGTGGGGCTCTGCTCGGCTGGCTCGTCTCTGGTGAGGCACTGCCCAGTGCCACCTTAGCTGAACTCTGTGACCAAGGGCAGGATCACCTCAAGCACAGAGAGCAAGCCACAGTCTGAACTTGTTTTCAAGCCTGAAACGGTATTTTATCAAAGTGGGCTCCATGTTCCTGCTGAACCATTGACCTTCTGGAAGTTTTAGCTGGTGTGACCCACCCTTACCTATGAACACACCTCAGGAACAGCGGTTTGATGGTTATTTACTCTGCTCTGTTTTGGGTGTTCTTTCTAGCAGTGCSTGCTCAGCACAAACCTGTCAAACGACCCAGGAAACCCAAAGTATGGAGTTACTATTTGCAGAAATGGCAGTAACGGCCATGTGGCAACGAGGTTACGCTGCAGGAACAAGGAGCCCTTTGAGGGAAGGGCGAGGCGTTCGTGTCCTTTGAAGTGTGAGGAGGGAGTCCCTCCTCTTGTAGGGGCGTAAAGGAGATATTTATCATTAGGTCACAAGGAGCAGGGAAAGGAAGGCCGTATTTAACACTTCTCAGATCTGTAGCAGATTCATAGCTTGCTGGGAAGTAGCTGACCCAGGGTGAGCAGCCTTCACCAAGGGGATGGCTGTGACCCTGTTTGTCCGTGCAGCTCTCCTTGTCTGTGCATTGGCAAGTTTGGACTGCAGTTGTCTGCACGGGCTTGCATCTGTACTTGTGTGCACGTAGCGTCTTTGTCTGCACGCACCGACCCGTGCTGCTCCCTTCACAAAGGGACCATGTTTCTCAAGTGGAAGGATGATATTCCTGGGCACCAGTGTGGTCCCAGGCACCCTATGGAGCACCCGAGTGTTTCCAGGATATAGGTAGGAACAGCCTGAGCACATCCGCATCTTGATCATGGTGTAGCTCACAGCGGCAAAGCCTTCGCTGCGCAGGAACTTTGTGATATGGAAGCAGCTGAACGTTACCTTCCTTTAAATAAATAACATTGTTCTGCCCGAGACCCTGGTATTTTGGCCAGGTAGAGTAGGGTTTAATCTGGCCCATCTGGCCAACTAAAGCATTTGCAAAAGCCATGTAGTTTCAGCAATGGATCATTTGGGGCTTATTCTCATTACAAGCTTTTTTATCATTATTCTTAAAGTAGAAGCCCGCTACAAATAATGTATGTAATGTCTGGCATGAGCTAACTAATGGCCTGCTGGCAGAGCTACTGCTTTGCTGCCTACAGTACTTTGTACTTGAATATTCTAGTGGGAAGGGAACTGTGTAAAGTTAACTGGAGTAATGATGGGCTCCTTGCACAAACCTATATATATTTCCCAGAAAACTGCTCCCTTTGGTACTCATTTGTTCTTTAAGCACCTTACATTGCCTGTATTGTAGTAACACCACAATATGGTATTTGAAAAATTAGGAAGGAATTAAAAAAAAAGTCTTAAAAGATGTGGTAAGACTGAAGATAAATCATATTATTCATTTCTTCAGAACCAGTATTATTTCTTGAAGAGAAGGTGAGGGGCTGTAAGATTTAAATTTTCTTTCCCAGCAATCCTTACAATTATTTTCATTACATTGTGACAGCAGTCCCACTGAGGGATGCTGTCCTTACAGTGCTTGTATAGTGGCATGAATGATGATGTACCTCAACAGGAGAGCTGTGGCAACGTGTTACAGTGCTTAGAGAGCTAGAAAAATGAACTGGGTTTTGTGAAGCTTCTGAAAATGAGATAGGAAGGACGAGAGGAAAATCAAGTTTTAAAGAAGTGTTTTGTTATATTTCTTTACCAACTATTTAGATTTTTTTTTTAATAATTGCTCAACCAACTCTATGGATGAGGAAACAACTCCCAAAATGTTGAGTATTGTTTATTTTTATGAATATTGCATCTTTGCCTTTTCCTCCCTTACTTCTCCATCAGCTGTGAGAGCAAGAAAATATGATAGATTCTCCCTTAAAACATTGCAAAATTTGACCAGCTGTAAGGCAGAATCCTTACTGGAATTGCCATTGCTATCTCCATAGGAATATCATTATGTCTCAGCATGCATTTTTATACTTAAGAGGGAAGGCATGCGTGATTTTTGAGTGAGAGTATATGCTTGTAACAGAAAGGTTATAATCTCTACTGGCATTATAAATTACATTGTTGTGGGTTTTTTTTCGTGTGGAGGTGACACAAAGGTGTACCCAGGACTGGCAGTAAAGCACATAGCTTCTCTGAGAGCAAGAGAGAGGTGCCTAGTTTCTTTAATAATCATATGGCCAAGCTATAGAGAAAGGGAAAAGCAAGTTATCAGCATTGGTTATGTTTYTTTCTTGTCCCTGGATTCTTGGCCAGAGAGAAATTTCTGGATTTCTCCAGAGAATCCAGCCCATAATCCTTCTTTTTCCTTTTGAAGTAATGCCCAAAGGAAGAGTGGCTCAGCAGTTCATATAGGATGTTCACACATGGAATTGAGACTGTCCAACCGTAGGATAGACAAGAAATGTAGGATCAGGTTCATAAACCCTTTTTTGGTTTTATGAACCTGATCCTATTTTCTGTCTGTATTTAATCCACTTAATGTAGAATCCTCATTAAAAGTTATATGCTTCAGGAACCACCAGTCCTACGTAATGCATCAGAAGACTGGAGTTGTTTAATACTGCTGTTGTATTAAGATAAAATTGAACCAATATAGAATTTTTCATTTTTTGTTTAATTACTGAAATAGGAAATCATTTCACTTCTTGTAAATATATCTATTTGCATGAAATGACTTTTGTTTCAAGTAAACTTGTCAAACCATCTTTATTGCTTGAATTTTGAGTGACACTTTATCACTTTCAAGATCATGAAATTTAAATTGGTGATTAAAAAAGACACCCTTAAGGATCTCATTTGCTTTTAAGAACTCTGAAAATACAAGTGGTTCAATTCAGTCTTGCCAGTTAAGATAAAGTTGCAGTAGCTTCTGGAAATGTGATAGACACCACTAATCAGAGTAATGTGTCCTGATCCTGCATGACGTAATTTATATTTTCTTTGACTTCAAATCCACTCAGTGAGAAAAAGGCCTGTATTTTATGAAGACTCTTTTTGCTCCCTGAAATAAGATGTCGTCTCACTGCTTGCTGATGTCATGGAGATGGGTTTAGCTCTTTGGAAATGCCCTGGAAATATTCTCTGTAGAAGGTGTGCAGTAGGCAGGAGAGAGATAGAGAAAAGTGTGGACACCATTTCAGACACATTTTGGCTCCAATCTTATTTCTGAGCCTTTTCAATTAATATTCRTTTTTATCTATTATAATAACTCCACACTTAATAAATACCTCAATAACCAAACACATGCCTAAACAGAGATATATAAAATATTAATGTTATCTGGACATCCTGTGCTCTTATAAGAATACTGGAAGAATACTTATAAGAATACTGTGCTCTTGTAAGAATACTTCAGAAGACTGCTCTGAAAAATAGCGTAAGTTATAGATCAGCTAATTATACTATGTGACTATAGGAGATAATAGGAAAAAAATGATCCAAAAAAAMCAGATGTGGTAGAGGAGATGGTTCAAAATCTTCTGGTTTTAGATGGCATTACTAAAACACTCAAGGAGAAGGTCCAGGTTTTGTTGTGCCAACTACTCCAATAGTATTTGTTGCCTGAAATGCCTCTAGTCATAGCTGATGTTGAGCGTTTGGATGCAGCCCAGACTGACAGCTTTAAAGAGACATCTAAGTCCAGGGATTTTAATTCAGCCTCCTCCAGATCTCTCGAAAATCTGAGAAAGGCATGTTAGCTTTAAGTTTCCATGTAAGGATTTCAGTAACACATCTGCATATAATTTTCCTAATATGSATAAGTTCTTTCAATGAATGAATTGCCTTTGGCAATATTTTAATGAAGACTTACTTATTTGGTTGGACTACTGGCAGGTATCAAGTGAAAATGAGCTTCAAAACCTTCCTAAGGTAGCACATTCCTGATTTGCCCTCCTTAAGACAACTAACTCTCCAAAGAGGAGATGAAGGAGATGCCTGAGAGAAGATAGGAGTATTACAGCGTGCCAGGAAAGTCCAGGCTCTGGCAGAAGAAGGAGAAAAGCCCTGTCAGAAGGTGAGGTGTTTTCCATTGTAACTCCTTGTCACTGACCAGTTTTGATTACCCCAGYGCAGCTCAGCACTCCTCCCGCTTGCAGCAAGGCAGGGGTAGTCTGAGGGCTCTTGAAAATCTTCCCGTTGTCTTTGTTTGATCTCGGATGAGTTTTGGAAGCAAGGCCACCCTCCAGATCCCAACCCACCCACAGTGCAGAGCCTCAGGGCTGCCTTTTTTCTGCAGGTAGGAAGGCTCCCAGGGCTGATGTGGGGAATCACAGGAAGCCCATCCAGCAATGTGAGTCCTTTGGAGACTAGAGATCAGCTTCTTCAGTCAGATTTGCACTGATTTTCACTGTAAACCTAAAAACAGCATTTGGTAGCTGATACTCATGATCTTGTCTGCAAGATATACAGGGAACTGAGGACCTGAAATGCTGAAGTTCTTGGAAGTGGTGACAGACACACACGTTAAACAGCCTGGTTGGGTTTTATCCCTGCTTGGGACCTTTGTCCAGGATTGCTCTATTGCTTCCATTTCTGCCAGATGCTCGATTTCATTACRATGCCTCCTGGATTACAACGAAGAGCAGTAATAAGTTTAATTATTTAATCACTGATGAGGTTAGGCTAAATTAGACATGAATTCAGTTATGTAATTCTGAATACAGTATTTGGAGTTGGAGCTGAGAGCAGAGCAGGCCCAAAGCGCAGGCAAAGCCGCAGCCGCAGAGAGCTGGCGGCTGGAAGAGCCTGACCAGCTCCGGATCCCACAGCCCTCCCTGCCTGCCCTAGGAAGGAGGGAGCATCGGGAGGTCCTCGTAGCCACCCCAGAGCTGCTGTCATCCCCTTCCCTCCCCTCACTGCCAGCACGAGGGGAAATCTCAGTTCTCGTCCTCGTGCCACAGCTGCTCCGTCCCTGCCAGAAGGAGCCTGTGTTTAGACTCCAGCACTTAGCCAAGCAAATCAATAATACTTCCTGGTAGGTGATTCCCGAGTGCARATACAAATAAGTAACTTGGCGGCATCATAACTGAGCAAAAGAAGTCTACATAGACCAGCRTAATAAGGCGACATAGACTTTTGTGTATTTATTAATTTGATTCATAAGAGCCTTCTGTATTCTGCCTCCCATTTTTATTGACTCATATGCCTGAATTTGCTTTGCTAGGAAGAAAAAATAATAAAAGATGAGCCGCCAGATATTTTCCCTGTTTATAGTTCTCATATATCTTTGCAAAGCAAAACTGTTATTAGAAAGCCTAGCTACAGCCTGACATTATCTGCAGCATGTAAGATGTTTTTCCAGACAATGTAGTAAATATACAGAATTGTCACATCCAAGGCATTCCCTGGCATTAATAAATTAAGGCAAAGCTAAGAAATTAGCCAATCTAAAATCTGATGTATACAATCTTAATGATCTACAGCACAATTTTTGAAATAATTGAGTAATGCCCTGGGACATTTTTGTCCAGAGCCTTTTATTCACCAGCTTTGCAACCCCAGGAATGTGCCATGAATGGCTGCCTCAGCTCGTGTAGCTCAGGACAGCTCCACTGATAGCACTAAAATTGCTCCTGGGTTAGGGTTGTCCAGTTATTTCTATTGATCAATTTTTGATTTGCTGTATACATATTTAAGCATAAATGAAGTATCTTCATAGCCTAGCAGTGATTTGGTAACATCTTGGTATCATTATGTGTCTTTATGTTAATATATTTACCTTTTTGGTGCTATTTGGATGCTGACCGTTGTTTCAGGACATAAGGAGGTAAATCATGTCAGCAAATCTGCATGCGAATGAGTAAACCAAGCTGCAAAAGCAGATCCATCCTTCCCCATCCTAGCTAGGTATGCAGGCTGATTTTAATTTGAGAAACCTACCAAGATGGAAACCCTCAAAGATGTGAACTGTGATGGTTTGCTGGATTAAAGCAGCACAAAGAGATTGAATTCAAGATCAGGCTGTGCCATATGACAAAGGTGTCTGTGTTTATATATAGAGTCACATGTCAATATCTCTCGAGCACTGCTGTATATACAGCATGATTAAAATAATAGAATCCCATATAAAGAAGGYCTCCTGGGTGTGTGTTCCTTGCTGAGGGTCGTGGGCTGCGACCCACCCTGGCACAGAGCAGCTTATGCAGCACGCTCCATATAGCGCTATAGGGCGACTGCAACATGCTCCATATAGGGCTATAGGGCGGCTGCAGCACGTGCTGTCTCAGTCGCAGCGCGACTCTGTCTTAGCTCTTGCTGCTCTTGAGCAGTACAAGTTATGTAAAGCTTTGCAGATTTGAACTCACTTGTCCTTGCATCACCCCTGAAGTAATATCACAGCCATTTTACAAATGGGAAGCTGAAGCACAGAGAAGCTGGATGGCTGTCTCTAGCCTCATCCTCAATCAATGTGTATCAAATTAACTTAATGTTCATCCGAGTGCACAGATTTGTCTAGGAGAAAGTGTGATCATCACTAGATAATGTCATTCACTTGTCATTATGGTCAAAATGACTAGACAGCATAAAGATACATTCCTGCTTGTCCCGAGAGCCACGTCACTCAAGCTGCMTTTTCCAATGATAAAATTGCGCTTTATGAGTGCAAGTTGCAATGAGGTTCAGCGGATGATCRGCTCCCCGGCTTTCAGCGGGGACATTATCAGCCATATCTGTCCCCTGCCCCCCATTAGGTGTTGTTAATACAGTTTAATATAAGCATGGTAAGACCTTCTTTTGGCTGATAAATGCTATTTTCTGTAAAACAGAGTCCAGGCTCCCTCTTGCATCCCGTATGACAGATAAGCAAGTGTGGTCACTCCCAGAAAGTCACCTCTGGCAAATGCATGACTTTGCCTACTGGGACAAGGATTAGAGTGTGTCCTAATAAAAAGAAGGATGAAAAAGAAAAGACTCGTTTTCAAATCAGAGATTCTGATTCCAAAGCAATTATTTCATATCCTTAAAGAAAAGTGATTCCCACCAGGCATTTTATTTATTTTATTTTATTTTATTTTATTTTATTTTATTTTATTTTATTTTATTTTATTTTATTTTATTTTATTTTATTTTATTTTATTTTATTTTATTTTATTTTATTTTATTCCGCAGGATTTTGAACCACAGGAGCACGGCGTACCTCCATAGCTTATAAAGGAAATACATATCAGCTAATCTCATTCTGTGACTCAGAGTACATGGGCTGTAGCACATAGGCACCAAAACTACAGCAGCCAAAAGTGCATGCAGCTGCTGTGGCAGCTTCCAGAAATGTTTGAATGGGAAATGTTTTCCTGTCACCTTTTACTACCCTCCACAGACTTTCCTAAAGACCACTTTTTGAAAAGTGGGTATAAAGAACGAAGGGTCGGGTGTATATTTGGGTTAGACTTTAACCTTTCAGAGACCTCGTGGGGCTGTGGAGCTGCCTGCAGCACTGCAGGCTCTGCCTGCACAGTTGTTGCCAGTTTCTTCCTTGCTGCTTGCACTAAGGCAGGGCAAGAGAGACCAGGCCAGTCACCTGCTCCGCAGGAAAAGCGCTTCCTTCCTCCGGAGGGTTAGCTCTGACTGAGCTGTGGTCTGCAGCTGAGCTCATACCTGCAGATGAGAGAGTTTAAGTGAGAAAAAAAACAGAACAAAAAAAATCTGAATGGCTAAAAAACTGCCAGGGCAGAGGGGGAGGCAAAAATACAGTTAGAAGCTATGGGGAAGGACTGAAATCTAGATGCCAGAGTGAAGGTTGCTGCATTCCTTCTGGGCTTGGTGAATATACGGGCAAGACTGCCATTCCCTTAGGCTTAGTACAGCATTTGTGATCTTTTGTTCTGCTGTGTTTAAACTCTTTTTTTTTTTTTTTTTTTTTGTGGTAAATCTGAGTGCTCTGAAATGTGAAATGTCATGGTTCCAAATGAGAAAATACGGAGGAGGACAAACCCAAACTGACATTCCTGTATAGCTGAGGACCAGGAAGGCAAGAATCACAGTAAGTGCTCACGAAGAGCTGTAGGGGCAGATATTGCTGGCCTTAACATATTGACTATGAGTGTCTTTTTAAAGAGTATTTTAGGTCTTGTTCTGGTTGACTCTCTTCACTGATTTCTGTACATTTGTCTCCCCATGGAATCGCGTGCTTGATATTCCTTTGGGAAAGTCAGAGAATGTCCTACAGTTGGTTTGTGATCTCAGTGAAATGTGCAGAAGGCAACCTCATATATTCACCCACTTCTTGGTGCATCGATTTAAATCATATTCTGAAATGACAAATTACTAAGTGGATGACTCCAGGTTCAGTGGGGTTCTTGCTCCCCTGAACTCTCTTGCCTTCTTCCTAGCCTGTTGCTGTATCTTTCACTTTTTCTTCAACAAAAGCTTTGAGTAAAATGCATAGTATGCACAGGTCTAAAGGCAGCTGGTTACACATATATAAGATGGAGGAATGCGCTGTGTTTGCACTGTTATTCTCACTAGGTTTTGGATGTCTGCTAAACTACAGCACACAGGTACATCACTTCAGTGCTCAAACCTGGCCCGTGGGAGACTCTACAATATTGCAGCTATTTCCTGGCTGCACAAGGTGGACTAGGAATTGCTCTGCATGCCTGACCCAAAGGATTGTTTTGATATGTGTTCTGGGAGTATGAGTTAGATTCAAGTCTACAAAGTGACTTTGAATATGTGCAGAAGGAGTTCATGTGTCTGGAGGAAAGCTCTGGTGACGAGCAGAAGGGAGAAGGAACCACCAGGCTTCTTGTGGAGAGCATCGCGTGGAGTTCTTCTATAGAGCAGTCTAGCGCATAGCACGAGCAGGAGGAGACTGTGCCCCTGGGATGAGAGAATATTTTAGCTCAGGGATTGCTGGTCAAGAACCAAAGAAAGTGAGATCAGAACTACCACATAGAGTGCTTGGTTTGGCATCTGTGCCTGAGCATCCCAAACACTCACTGACACAGCAAGAAAATCCAGTGGCACTAGGAAGCAGGGAGCAATATATACTTTCAAATAAATAAAAGATAACACATCTACACSCAAAGTGCCAATCTGCTCTTTGATGGTAGTTATGCTGCCAAATCATACCTAAAAAACACAAAGCAAAGCAAAATAACTGAAAAACCTTCAAATGGCGGAAGGCTCTTTCCTCCACGTACTGCAGACATGTTTTGTAATTGCTGTTGTACATCCTGCTTGCGTTCCCCTGTGTTGAGATGTACGTATAACAAATTTGAAGTGGCTGCAGTTAAATCTGGATGGTATTCTGGTGGCATAATGCATTGATAAACAGTGTTATTGGAAGTAAGAAATGATGTTCTGCTTATCTTCCATCTTTTCTAGCAATGCTTTTCAAATAATATTGAAAGAAAGATACCCGAATAATGATTGCCCAGGCTCTACTATCGAAATTGCAGTGGGGTTCTCAGGGGGAAAATTCATTAATAACTATTATGTGTCTATAACGTTTCCTAAATTAAAGTCTGACTAAATTGTTGAAACCCCAACTCCTGAGCGGGAGTAGTGATACTTTTCAAAGGGATATT